GAAGACCTGCCAAGAGAGCATTGCAATAGTCCAGCCTGGACAGAACAAGAGCTTGAACAAGGAGTTGTGAAGCATGTTCCGAAAGAAAGGGCCTGACCTTCTTGATGTTGAATAAAGTCAATCTGCAGGACCGGGCAGTTTTAGCAATATGGTCTGAGAAAGTCAACTGATCATCAATCATAACTCCAAGGTTTCTGGCTGTTTTTGTAGGAGTTATGGTTGATGTGCCTAACTGGATGGTGAAATTGTGATGAAACGATGTGTTTGCTGGAACCACAAGCAGTTCTGTCTTGGCAAGGTTGAGTTGAAGGTGATGGTCCTTAATCCAGCAAGAAATGTCTGTTAGACAAGCTGACTAACAGACTAAAAACTAACAAACTAACAGATGTCTCTCATTTAAGGTTCTTTTAGTGCAAAAGGAAGGGGGGGGGCACTCCTTTAACACTTTGCATTCAGGACCAAAATCCAAAATTGAATGCTATGTATTCTTTCGGTCCTTTCTGCCAGTATTATGAAGAATGTATACAGTACAAAAGCAATTGGCAGCATTCAGTGTTGTTTCGAATGACCCACAGTGGGCTGATTTTCTCTGCAGATTTGTCTCTTTGTTTTACTGGCAGTTGACAGGAGGTCCCTTACGGGTCCCTTAATGCTTAAGTGAGGTCCAGGACCCCAAACCCCCAACTGACCGAATTATTATTATTGAAGTATATATGAATATTCATTAGTGTTTGCCTATTATGGGCATGTTCTTGAGACAACATACAAATGAATAGAACTAAAAATATTAGTGCGAAATCATGTGTCAAGGCCAATGTCATAATATGGCTTAGTTTTGCTTTTTGTGATGTTTCCACATATATTCATCATCAGTGTTGGGGAAAGTTACTTTTAAAAGTAATGCATTACAATATTGCATTACTTCCTAAAAAAGTAACTAATTACGTTACTTAGTTACTTTTTATTGAAAGTAATGTGATACGTTACTTTTGCGTTACTTTTTAAATCTTGGCAGGGCTTGCTTGTTTGCTTTTAATATAAATATAAATATATTTTTCCTTTCACACCAAAAGCCTCAGGCTGAAGAAAAAGTAAATTCACGTCTGTACAGTAGAACGCAGAAGAAGAAAGTTCAACACTCTTCAGCAATAAAAAAGAAGAAGAAATGTTAGTTTATCTTGTGTAATTTTTGCTTATTAGTATAGTTGAATTGGATCATCGGAGGTCAGCAGCAAATTGGTTAATAAAATGGGCTTAAATACATAAAGGATATTTGTATTATTTAACATATTTAATTATTGCAGCTTTGAGTCATATTCTGAGTTGCTTTTAACTGTTTTTATTAATTTTAAGGAAAACTAAATCTGTTTTTTTTTGTGAGTGAGATGAATTAATGCATGTTCACATTTATTCTAGAACTAAAGTAACATCTTACTCCCGATTTCTCTCAACATGGGGACAGAAGAGCTTTAAATTAATAAATGGGGGGAAAAAACTGGCGTTACTTATTTGAAAAAGTAACTCTGATATTTTCTTGTAAATTAAAAAGTAATGCGTTACTTTACTAGTTACTTGAAAAAAGTAATCTGATTACGTAACTTGCGTTACTTGTAATGCGTTACCCCAACACTGTTCATCATCATGTACATATATGGTTAAAAATTGTATTAGCCTTGGCTAGCATAGGTTATTCACTCATTGTTTGCTCTGCTGTGTACCTGTGATTAAACAGACAAAACAGCTCAGATGATTGATCATATTCCACGAACTCTGCATGGTTTTGAAACTGTTTCAGCTATTGCTTAACATTGAAACTTCATTACCTTTTAGAAATAATCCATTAAACAAGTTGCGATTTGACGAGTGTTGCGCTAATATTTTCAGTTCCATTCGTTTGTGTGTTGTCTCAAAGACCCGCCCACAACAGGGGAACTATAATGAATATTCATGTTTGCTCCAGCAACTGGAACAGTTTTTTACAGGAACTGAATATTGCACAACACTGGGTTATGTGAATTCACACAGGTAGATCAACTCCAACACACCGATGTTCCTTAAAACCATTTACATTAATGTTAAAGAATATACCTAAAACACATTTCAATATTTTGGTTTTCGTAGCATATCATTGCATAAAAACATAATAAGAAATAGAAAACAATCACTGTGTAAACATGAGTAGCACTTCAAAATAAGGTCCGTTAGTTAACATTAAGTACTGCATTAATTAACATTAATAATGAGTAAAACATTTCTTACAGTATTTATTCATCTTTGTTAACGATAATACAACTAATAAAAATACAACTGTTCATTGTTAGTTCATGTTAGCTCAGGTCTATTAATTAATATTCTTATGTACAACTTTGGATTTTAATAATGCATTAGTAAATGTTGATATTAATATTAACTAGGATTAATAAAAGCTTTACAAGTATATTTCATTGTTAGTTCACGTTAACTAATGTTAAAAAGTGGAACCTTATTGTGAAGTGTTACCACATAATGCTTATTACTTGCATAGTAATAGATATTTAGATCCATATTGTGTGGAGTGATCTGAATCAAGATGGTTAAAATATTTTTTTGTAGCCCATTTTTTTTTAAATATATTGTTTATTTATTAACTCAACATTCATCCATCTGAATGGCCATGTTATTTCAGTAAAATACTGTCATTTCCAGGTCATTATGAGCATCTGATTTTCACAAACCAGTCAGTTCAGCTGCAGTATGTCAGAGGAGAGAGGAAAGGACTCTCCAGCTGAGATCAGTCTCTCGGAGAAACAGAGGTAAGACTGAGTCTGTGTTTACATAATCATTTTAAATACTGTCTGTAAAGAATAAAATCCCATCAACAGTGGACATTACATGCTGTCATGTCAAATGCTGTGCAAAACTTCAGTTTAGAACTTCCTATTACTGCTTTTAGATCGTTCTAGGTTCAAAACAACTTGAAACTGGTCTAATATCTGTTAGTCTAATATCTGTTATTACAGCTGAAAGGGGTGGATTTCTAATTCCCGCCTCTTTTATTTAATAATCAATAAGTGAAATAGTATTCTTAGAACCATTCTATCTGTTCTGGCATTTATGTTACAAGCATTGTCTGTATTTATCTGAGAGGTGACTGACTCTGTCAACTGATCGAACTTCAGATTTGACTTTTGGTCTTCTCTGAGCATATTGGTCTCTCTGTGGGGTTTAACTGTAATATGTTTTATTTATCATATAAAGTTGTTTGCATTACACTTTCGGGGTTGCATGTTTAGTGGGTATTAAATGTAAATAATTGGCAAACTAGAATTACTTCAAATGAATACAAATACACATCAAACTCGGCTTTACAGTGTAAATCAGTGGATTTTTTAAAAGGGAAATTTAGATTTAAATTTAGACTCATTCACAGTATGCGGTTCATTGTTCAGTATATTCATTATAGAAACAAGATGATATTTTTGCTTTAGTATTTTCTCATCTGGTCAATGGGTTAAACAGAGTTTGTTTACTCATGAGATTTAATATGGTTGCACTATAACACAGTTTTAGAGCCAGTTGTGTTTTTCAGTGGAAATTGTGCAGGATGAGAAACCAGTACTTGACTTGACTTGTAGTTTACCTGTGATTCCTTTATATTAGGCCTGATGAGTTAGTGAATTAATTTGTGTTAAACCGAACTAAACAAACTCCCTTTTGGCGCACAAAATCTCTTCAAGTGAGACTGAAGTATCTCCTATAGTTTTTTTTCCCCTCTGTTCTTTCTGTCATTAGTGTAAGATCAGGATCACATGTGTTCAGCTCTGTGTCTGTAAAGAGTGACCGTTCAAAAGGAGGTGAGCCACCGAACTTCAGTGAGAAAAAAAACTCATCTACCAAAAGGTATTACATTATAGCATTATGTTAGCAAATTTTGCCACTGTGGTTTTTGTGATAGATGCTGACTGAAAAAAAAAAATCACTGAACACATGTCTGGTAACCTTTACTGAACTCTGGTCTGGAGCTTTTTTCCAATAATACATTTATACAGGCAGTGATTAAAAAGCATAAATTCACCATGAAAAATACAATAGATCATTCAACCAAACATGTATAAGTATAGTAGAACAAATGCATGGCTATAATTGCATATTAATTACAATTTACAACATAAAAAATTCATAAATTGGACTGAAGTACCCCCTGTAATATTGTTTCTTTTTTCCTCTGTTTTTGTGTCTTTAGTGTAAGATCAGGCTCACATGTGCTCAGCTCTGTGTCTGTGAAGAGTGACCGTTCAAAAGGAGGTGAGCCACCGCACTTAAGTGAGAAAAAAACATCATCTACCAAAAGGTATTTCATGGGTTTCTTATTGTTGGTTGAAAAAATACATATAATATGTGCACATACAAAAACTTTTGGCAGGCGCACGATTAAATTAATCACTTCACTATAAGTAAACAAGAATCCACTGCTGCTCCCAAAGATCAATTTATTCTTAGATTCAATATATTCAAATAAATTGATCTTTGGGAGCAGCGGTGGCAGTGTGCCGATTCTTATTGTTGGTTGCACATAGACTGTTCGTTGAAAATATTTAAATCAGTATTTATCAAGAAACTATACTGTTGAATTATTTATCAGAGTTTTTATTAAGATACTAAGAACATCAGCAAAGAAGATTAGAAACAGAGAAGATTATAATGATTTGATGTGAACTGTGGTATTTTGCAATCTCCATTAGGGCTGTCAAAATGGGCCCAGTTCTCACTGAGAAGGGGACTCGACCCGAAGCGCTTTCCAACTAGCGGAACCAGCTAGTAACAATTCCGGCGTGGGAGCACAAGCCTGGTCCTCAGACGCCCCATGCCGGGCTTTCCCCGGCTGGCAGTAGCTCATTCTAGCTGGGGGAGCCCAAACCCAACTCTCACCGAGAGAGGGGGGGGCCCAACCAGAAGCATGATTAATAATCAGAGGGGTAGCATACTGCAGGCTAGCCACATCGCCAGCGCATCCGAGAACAGATGCAGTATCAAAGAAGCAGCTCTTGATCTCACACTCTACTTCCTGAGAGAGATGAAGCAAGATGAAGATGCTAATACTTTAGAAGGTAAGAGACTCATGACCATCTGTCATATTGTCACTTATAAATGTAGCAGAGAAAACTAGTACTAAAAAAATCTGGTTTTGTCCCTGTTTTTAGATGAGCTGATCTTTGTTCATCAGCTAAAATGTAGCCTAAAGAAAAAGTATCAATGTGTATTTGAAGGAATTGCAAAGCAAGGTGACTCTACACTTCTGAATAACATCTACACAGATCTCTATATCACTCAGGGTGGTAGTGAACAGGTCAATACTGAACATGAGGTAAGACAGATTGAAGTTACTTCCAGACATTCTGAATCACAAGAGATACAAATTGAGTGCACAAACATGTTTGAAGCACCTGAACAAGACAAGCAGGTCAGAACTGTACTGACAAAAGGAGTTGCTGGAATCGGAAAATCAGTCTCTGTGCAAAAGTTTGTTTTAGATTGGGCTGAAGGAAAAGAAAATCAGAATATCAGCTTCATATTTCCTCTTCCTTTCCGGGAGATGAACTTAAAGGAAAAAGAAAAACAAAGTTTGTTGGACCTTATAACTCAGTTTTTCCCAGAGACAAAAGGACTGAACATTGCAAGAAGAAACCAAAAAGTCCTGTTCATTCTTGATGGATTGGATGAATTTCGTCTTCCTCTGAAGTTTGATGTTAATGAGACATGGTCTGATGTCTCATCACCAGCATCTCTGGATGTTCTCCTCACAAACCTCATCAAGGGAAATCTGCTTCCTTCTGCTCTCATCTGGATCACCACCAGACCAGCAGCTGCCAGTAAGATTCCTTCTGACTATATTGATCGGTTGACAGAGGTACGAGGGTTCAATGATGCACAGAAGGAGGAGTATTTCAAAAAAAGATTTGAAGATCAGAATCAGGCCAAAGAAATCATTGATCATGTTAAACAATCAAAGAGTCTGTTTATCATGTGTCACATCCCAGTCGTCTGCTGGATTTCAGCCACTGTTCTCCAGAACATTTTGTTTGAAAAAAGAAATAATGATCTGAAAAACTATCAGGGTGATGATGCCTCCAAAACACTGCAGGAATCAAACACTGAAGACACTCCTAAGACTCTGACACAAATGTACACACACTTTCTCAGATTTCAGATCCAGCAGAGCAGACGAAAGTATGATGGAGAATACACACCAGATGTTT